CTTCACTCCCTGTTTATTTCCAAATTTAGAAAGCACGAAGTCTGTTTTCCAGCAGCTGATGCTATCTTTAGGGATAGCCAACATTTTGTCTCTTTTTTCCCTCCCAAATCATAAGTGTAATGTCTCCATATTGAAGAGGAAAATAAGCAAAAACAAAACACTATTCCATCACAACGTACATGGTAATATTACCCTCTTCTGTTTGGTTCTAGCAATATGTTACTGATAAAAATTGATCTGCATTTTTTTCAGTCCACTTGCCTTATTTAAATCTCAGTTAACCTTATTGCTGTAAGGTTTTATGTAGTTTTTGCTGTAGTTTTATGTAGATGTCTTAGAATAAGCCAAATACAAGTCCAGACAAGGAGACCAGAGTTAGACAAGTTAAACAAGAGTTGCAAGCATTGTTAGTTGTTGACATAGAATTTGCTGGTTTTCTAACTTTCATTTTGCCTGGAGAACTTCTTTTGTTTTTGAACAGCTTCCTTGTGGCTCTTAATGCTTTTGTATGTACCTTCCTATTATGTTTTTTCTCCATTTCTGTCCAAAAAGTGTCTTTCCAGCATTCTTTCCCACAGTGTGCAAAGTATGGTATGCTCATGGTTTTCATCTCTGTAAATGTTGCACATGTTTTCTTTAAAGTTGGTTGGAAGTATGAAGATAAAAGGTGAAGATGTGATGGGGTAGTTATTGCACATGAAAATTACAGTGAGTTGAACAGACAAAATAGGGCAGGCAGTCAGGAAAACTGCATCCTAGTCCAGACTTTGCCCCACGACTTAACTGTAGACTTTTTTCACAAATCCTATTGTCTTCTGGACACCTAGCTGCTTTATCTGTAGGATAGAACTGCATTAAATAGTTTCTGGAGTCCCTGTTAGTTCCAAACCTCATTCAGATCCCCAAACTGAATGACTACAAGATTCTATTAAATACAGTGTAACATCTGGCAAACCTTAAGTGGTGAAGAGTATGATCTGAGCAAGCTTAAATTTTGTTAGAAATTTTGTAATTATTGGAGATTGAGTGAAAAGAGTTAAAGATGATTGACTTTCATGGAAATTATAAAAACCATATGAAACCCACTATTATTTAATCTTTTAAGCTTGATTGCTAATCTTGCTCACCATTATATGCCCAACACATAATATACTGCAGGATCAGCATATTGTATTTTGAGAATACTTGTATGAAAAATTGATGGGCTTCTTGACCTATTTACCTCATTAGGGCAGATTAACCATGTCTCATAATTGCTCTAAAATTCAGGCAGGAAGTATAGTAACAAGTGATACAGTGCTAGTTGGAAAGATATTTTAGAGGTGAAATGTGACAGTAGATATTAGGGTGATATCCTTTATTACCTTTCAGTACAGTTGATGATTTCCTAGGTAACAGATTCAATAGATGGGGTATTAACTATATTTAATTTTAAGTAGGGGGAAAAGAGGCCAATTTGTGTTTAATGAAATAGACTGTAGAAATGAAAGCAGAGAATAAAGTGATAAGCATATTCTGTATATTCAAATCAACCTTAGACTTTCATAACATTTTATTGGGTTACTGTGAAAGATAGGTAACAATTATGATTTCTCTTTTTTCCAGAAAAAAGAAACACACATTTCTAATTTTTGTGAAATTTGAGGGGTTTCATTGTCTCCATTAAATAGATGTAGCCTTGCCTTCTTCCTCACCTGGTATCCCTTAGGTCCAAATTCTTGAGAGAAAAAAGTCCTGGGATGCTAAACATTAAAAAGCCCTTGGAAAAAATCTAGACCAGTGTTACCTAAAGTGGTCATGAAATCAATGGAGTAAATCAAGACCAACATTAAGAAGAAAAAAAGAAAAAAGAGTAAGAGTGTATTTTAGCATGCCAAAAGTTTTATTCTGTGCACTTTTTCCATGTTTGTATGTGTGAGTGTTTATGTATGTTAGAGTGGTGAATCAAAATATAAAATGCATTTCTCACTGAATTGAGAGTAAAATAAATTTCAGAAATATTCATCTGTTCCCAATGAACCTCTTCATTTTGTAGCTGAGAAAACTGAGGTCCTCAAAGGCGAAATGCTTTATTTAAACACACCCCCATTCCACTCCCATAGACTTAAGTATCCTGGCCAAGACTGAACCAGATTACTTGTTAGCTGATTTTACTGTGTCACAGTGCCAGTTTTTTAGATAGAATTTTGAAGTAGATTATTTAAAAATACTAAGTAGTTCATCTAGGTCACACTTGGCATTTTTTAACCCTTTATTTTTCCCACTAAAATTATCTGTCCTCATTCTTTTAAAACAGTCTGGACTTGAGCCTTTTTTCCTCGAGAATTGAAACATATCTCAAGGCTTCTTAATTGCCTCCATATACCTGAATCCTAGAATTTTCACATTTAGGTAGAATTTTTCACATTTAGGGCCTAATCTGAAAAGTTCAGGATACAACTTGAGGCTTTTAGGTTTTATGTCCAAACTAAATAAGATTACTTTGAATTATTTGCCTATTCATTTGATAATGGATTGCAAAATGTAACACCAGGGGTCAACACTAGATTGTTAGTACTCTGTAACATTCCTTATTTTTATGAGAGTTTTTCCAGATATGAATGACATACAATCACTTGGTAGATATTGTTAAAAGGCAGATTCTGAATCTGATTGAGATTATGGGTTTCAGACTCCCAGGAGATGCTGTTGCTGCTGCTTGTGCCACTTGCAGTAGCAAGGACCTTCATTACCTGCTTTTTTACCATGGTGAGGGGAAGGTAGCTCCATTGTCTTGATTTTTCATGCTTTTCAAATTGACTACAAAAATTAAAATGTCTTTTTAAAATTTGGATTACTTTCTATAGGAAGAACATGATTGTTAATGCAAGACTATTCTAGTTTATTGTGATTTAGTGCAACTTCATTTAGCTAGTATTTTCAAGTTTTCATACAAAAATTGATTTTCCAAATAACTGAAATCTTTAATTTTGAGAAGAACATTATCTAAAATATATAATTTTCTTTTTTAAACTGTTATGTGCACAGTATTTACTTTTTCATTGTAGTGGTGTAAGAGCAATGCTTTTGGAGGCTTTCTTGAAGAGTGTTGCACTATGAAATAAAAAAAAAACCACAAAAACTTCTAAGTTGTGTCGGCTTTTTATGTTTTTTCTAATATGTCTTTCCACCTGTCAGTTATAGTATGACTCCCTCAAAGCACCTCTTTCTTTTTACATTCGAATTGATCACTTCTGACCAGAAGAGCATATAGAGCCAGGTACTAGGTTTATTAGAAATAAGTCTGGGATTAACTCCAGTCAGAAGGACCTCCCTGTCATGGGACTTTCCTAGGAATGTACTGGTCAGGAAGCACAGTAGTAGTTGAACAGGAGAGAAACCCTTCTTTTAATTGTATTCTAAATAGTTAAACACATTTGTTTCTTCTTGCCTTTCTCTGTGTGCTTTTAAAGCAGTCTCTCGATCTTTCCCTCTAACATTGTGTGTTAAAGTGTTTGAAGGCAGTTTGTTTTTTTATTTAACTTTTATTTATTTATTTTTTAATGGAGGTAGTTGGTTAAAAACACTGTATATGGTTTAAGGGGTATAAATTCACATGTCTTCAAATGTATGTTACCACAGCATGCCTACCACCCAGTCCCCGATAATCCTCCACCTGAAGGCAGTTTGAAGTTGTGTATGTGTGACTGGTGGTAGCCCTGTGATTGGGAATGTCTCCATTGTAATAAATAAGCAGCCCTGCCTGCAGGGTCCATCCAAAATGGGGACAATAACCTTGTGCTAAAGACTCTGGTTCTCTTACACAGTCTGTTGTAGTGGCTTTGTAAACAGTATAATAATGGCAATAAGGAAGATATTCCTTGGTTTGACTTAGTAACTTTGGGTCCCAGGGAGTTTAGAGTCTGATTTTTGAGGTGTTGACTTTAAAAGATGATTAGCTCTAATAATAAGTATAGCTCTGTTTTGTTGATCCCTTACTCTGTCAGCTCTCATTATTCAGTGGATGTTATGCAACAAGCAAGGTTGTTTTCAGGAGGGTGCATTAGGAGGGGGTAGCAAATGGCTGCCACACTTCGAACAAATGAGAGTGATCCAAATAGATAGAGATGAGATTAAATCTCCTCATTAGTCCCTCTTTAGAAATAAATAAGCATATGTGGAAACTATAGCAGGTGTTTCTGTTTTTTCTTATTCAAAGCTGGAAATGTTTGATGGATTCACAACTTTGAGAATCACTTAGTATTTCCTCTGATCCAAAGCAGAGAGAACCTGTTTGTAGTTTTAACTACTCCGTACCAGAACATTTGACATTTTGGATAGTCTTATTAGTTTCATGTTGGAAGTCATGGATTATAGTCTTTAAAATTATGACAAGGCTGAATGTAGCTGAAACATTTAGCTTGGATCTTGAGATCCTAAACAAGGCCTCCTCTGACTTTTTTTTAAAGGGAATTACAACCTTTAAACACTGATTACCAGATCTGTTTCATTTGAATTTTATTTGTACATCTAGAATTTGTCTTTGTTTCGGTGCAACTAAGCCTACTGGTATAATCTTAGTCTAATTAACAGTACTTTGTGGTCTGGAACTCCTGTCAAAGATCATTAAAAGAGCTAGAAAGCATTGGAAGGTAAATGAACACATGGCCTCATCTCTCTTATTTGCACTAGACTATAACTTGCGTTCAAAGAGACTGGGAAAAAAAAAGAAAAAAAAAAAGTTTGTTTCTTCCCATTAAGCTATAGCTATTTAATATGGTTTTGTTGTTAATATCTCTTTTAAATGGTAGAATGGAGGATTTTGTTTGAAGTATTTAAAAGGAAATGCTGCTGGGGTACAGATTTCACTCGAAATAGTAGAATCAGCCCCTACTCTTTGTTAACTGATAACTGCTTGTTTTACTGGGGAAATAAAAATGAACATGTATTGGAGAAAATCTGTGAGCATAAATGTGTCCCTTCCTGTTTGCAAATATATTTCATAGGTTGTTTATCTTATTTAAATATACAGTAATACAGTAGACAAGAGAATGCAACTGCTGTTCCTTTAACATCAGAACTGTGCACGTTACAATAGGTGTCACTGTTTTGCTTGGTCCAATCATGATTGGTGACTTCAGCTATTGGCTCCGAGCACAGGCTGTCTGACTCCATCTGCAGGGCTGTAATACCTACTCTCCCCGATCCATTCACCACACAACTTCAGCCGGCTGAACAGACTCTCGCAGCTCCAGCACATCTTGCTAACCTAATTCAGAAAACAAGTGCTACGGCTCTCTGCCTGTCATCTTTGCTCAGTGTAGCGTTTTCGGCTTATCTAGGAAACTGGGTTATTTTTATGAGCAAATAAGAGAAACAGGAATCATGATGGGGATGTATTTAACAGACCCAGTCCTGGATAAAACTTAAAGCCAGTTTCTATTCAACATAGTGAAAAGGTCACCTTGCCTGACTGAGGAAAGAAGCAAAATATCAGCTTGCTGGTTTCTGTTAACACCTTTAGCTTGCGCTAACCTCTCTTGCTTGATGTTCGTACCAATTTGGGATATCTGGTTATAAAGAAAGACATACTGTACTCATGGTAGATGACAAGGAAAAGAACATGAAATGTCTCACCTTCTTCTTGATGCTTCCAGAGACGGTAAAGAACAGGTCTAAGAAAAACTCGAAAAAAACAAGCAGCAGCAGCAACAACAGCAGCAGCAGCAGCAGCAGCAGCAGCAGCAGCAGCAGCAGCAGCAGCAGCAGCAGCAGCAGCAGCAACAGCAGCAGCAACAGCAGCAGCAGCAGCAGCAGCAGCAGCAAGTTGCCCCCAGTTTGTTATGAAATAATTACCTTGAAGACTAAAAAGAAGAAGAAGATGGCTGCTGATATTTTCCCCCGTAAAAAACCAGCCAACTCCAGCAGCACCACTGTCCAGCAGTACCACCAGCAGAACCTGAGTAACAACAACCTTATTCCAGCTCCTAACTGGCAGGGTCTTTACCCCACCATTAGAGAAAGGTAAGTGCTGGACCAGCATGTTTACTTTAAAAGTTTTCCTGTGTTGAAGTTTCAGCTTTTGCACAACCTGTAATGTATTTTAATGTAAATCTGTGTTTCCTCTTTTCCCAGAAGCTTTATTGGTAATGGAAAACTGTCTTGTATCTTTTCCAAAACAGTACAGCTGTTTTCCTCTTAGATAAAAATGTTTTTGCAAGCTGTAACATTTAAGTGACAGGGTTGTGTCTGTGAGCCATAGAAGATAGAAAGCTTTTATTTGTCTTTAGCTTAAAGAAAAGTTTGGATAACTTTTTTTTTTAAACTTTAGTTACTTCCCAAGTGTTTGCAATGATTACAAGCACAGTTGTTTAATTGGAATCTTTAGTTGTAGTTTTACCCTGAAGTTAAACTGTTGCTTAGCTTTTGAATCTTTGTGGGGTTTTTTATGTTGGGAGGGAGGCATTAAAAATGTTGGCTGCTGTGGATTAATGAATTGCCTCTGTTTATAGAAATGCGGTGATGTTCAATAATGATTTGATGGCAGATGTACACTTTGTGGTTGGGCCACCAGGTGGGACTCAGCGGTTGCCAGGACACAAAGTAAGCAACAGCTGCATTACCGGTTTAGTCCTGAGATTTACAAAGAGGGACCCTCTCAGTAAGCCTGGAACTTGGGGTGGGCAGCTTGCCGATGGCAAGCAGTGCATGTTTCACCGGATCATCGAGAAAGCATAGCCTCGCCAAAGAGCCTGGGCCACACTAATTTTTTTTCTTTGTTTCCTTCTACCCTGCTTTATATGCCACACACAAACATGCCCTCTTAACTCTCCAGTGACAGAAAGTTGTGATAGGTTAGGAAAGTCATATGTTGTTAATGTTTCTAAAAATGAGTTAGATAGCCTTTATTTTCTTTATTTTGTAATGAGAGAATTTACACATTAATTAGGAGCACAGAGACTGGTTTCCTTGAACATCTACCTTATACTTTACGATAAGATAATGGGGACAATGGCTTTTTCAAAAAAGGTTTAGGTGTTCTATGTTTACCAAACCTGATTGCTTAGAGTTGCTTTTCTAGACTGATTTGCTGAAAATGCTTTCAATTTAGTGCATGAAATAAGATTTCCCTTTCTCCACAGTATGTTTTAGCTGTTGGGAGCTCTGTGTTCCATGCAATGTTTTACGGAGAACTTGCTGAGGACAAAGATGAAATTCGTATACCAGATGTCGAACCTGCTGCTTTTCTTGCTATGCTGAAGTAAGCATCATTCCTATGTTTAGAAAGAGTTTGTTTATGCTGTATTTCTACTCTGCCGCTTGCACAGTTAAATACAAGTTCTATGTAACAGAAAAGGGAGACTGGTGAAGAAAGAGGGTGCTGCTTACCTTAGAAATGTTTCTGGAGAAAACTACTGTGGATCTTTCAGTGGAAGCTTGTGAAATGATGAGCGAATTTATAATCACACTTTGGCATGGGATTTGGGGGCAAGTGGCATGTATAGTGATTGGATTTTTAAAGATCAACAATTAAAGAAAAATAACTGTGTGATGTAGGCATTATCTAATAGAGTGTGCTCTCTCTGAAAGCTTGTATCTGAAGAAGCCTTCAAAGACATTGTTTTTTGGCTTCATAATTCCAGAAATCATACACCTCGTTTAAATATAACTAGTTAAGGGATTTCTAAGTTATCTAGGAGTTATTGTCTCCTATCAGCAAATGTAAAACTTGTTATCCATTGAAATCATGTGATCTTTATGCACATATACTTATGCTTGCTCTTATGTAAAATCAGATACCATTTCTCAAGAATAAGAAGCATTTGAGTTTGATAGAAGAGAAATTTTTGAAAGATATGAAGTTTTCTTATAGTTTTATTAGGACTTGTATAAGAAAACTCTTAACTGGTAATAAAAAAGGTAAAGCTATAAGATACACATAAAAAGTTTTATATCTTGTGGCTCTTTTTCAAAATTCAATACATGTTAAGCAGATAAATAAAATCTTCTTTGACGTGTGTTGCTGCTAATCAGTGTGCTAGTTTACCATGTCATTAAAATCCAATGAGTATTCTGCATAATATTTATATGATTTGTATTAATCCTATTGTAGCACATCCAGAGTATATCAGAGTTCAAGGTTATTTGCTGCTATAAGGATTTCAGTTCACTGGGATAAATACAGTGTTTGTTGAAAATACTATTCATTGGGCCAACAAGTTGGAGAGTTAATCCCACAAATGATTAAATTGTTGATATATGTTGTCTGCTGCCTACTGAAAAATAAACACTGTAGTTAGCTTGGTACTTATATGTATTTAATTCTTTATGTGTATTAAAGTTTTAAAATCTAAATGCTGCTGACTGGAACTTCTACAGTGGATGATAGGGATATAAAAGCAAGCGAAAATGTGAAGTATCAAAATCCAAACTTTTAGCCAACCTATGCTTTTTGTGACCTTTGTCATCTTAGAGATTGCCGAAACCAATTTTACCTGCAAGAGTTTTTGTTTTGTTTTATTTTTACAGTGAAGTCAGCTTTTATATTTGACATTGTTATCTATTGCGGAGGAGACTGCTAACACTGGTTCAGCATTTTGGCTTCACTGCAATCTAGTACAATGTTGTGTCATTCCTGATATATGTATAATTAGGAAACATGCCTAAGAATCACAGACTTATGTTTCACTTAAGACCAAAGTCATTTGATTTGCCATCTGACAGGTGTCTTTTCACACAAATGGGTTGCTTAGAACATATCTTGATAAAACTTTTTAAAATTTCACTGGCAGTCCACATAAAGTGATAGGACTCAGAAACGTAGTAAGTAAACGTCCTTAGTTGTGACCTTTGTCACAACTGTCGTGCCATAGTTGATTGATGTTATCAATGATTGCCTGGGATAGTGGAACCCAGGCTTTCCTTACTCTAGCATTGTGGGTGAGCAACCAGTTTTCCTGACAAGGGGAGAACAGTTTTAGGGTAAGAGCTACAAGGTATTGACCATGTTCCAGAATCCACCATCTTCCTGGCTCTTAGGTCAGAGCGTCACACAGCTTGCAGGCTGTTTTGTTAAACAGTCTTGCCAGTGGTGACTAACTTATCCTACCAGAGAAGAGAAGGGGCTTCCTGAGAGCAAAAATGCAGGTTCCACTTGTGAGTGGAGGCATTTTTCTCACTGCCATCCTTATAGTTGTGTACTTTTTCACAGAATCCACTCCTAATTTGTTGTGTTGTTGAGAAAAACTTCACAGCAATAGCTCACTATTTCAGCTAGAAAAGTATTAAAAATAAAGTGTTAACAGTATGTATATTTCACCTATATGTGGTTCTCACTGATCGTCTTTTAGTCATCCACTGAGATCTGAAAGAAGTAGGAGCAGCAGATGATTTCTACCTTTACATACCATTTTGGAAGACTGTCACCATCCCCTAAACAGCAAAGAAGTGTTTTACCCCCTGAAACAGGAACATAGGAACATGTCACAGAAGCACACACATAGTGCATATGTAAAGGCTTTCTTTGTCATTTAATTAAATGTATCTGGAAATAATATACTTGTTAATTCTGAAGCAGGAGGAATCCATAGAGAAAAAGAAAGAAATTGGAACAAAAGGAGCCAGATACAAAACCTTTGTTGGATTATGTGTAAAATAAACTGTTAACTAAAAAAGAGTGTCCACGTTCATGTTTGAAAATACATTGAAATTGTATTGAAATTATTTACTAGTAGGTTTTATTTTGTGTTTAGGAATTGCTAACATTGAAGACATTTGTTTCTATCTGAGCAGAAAAAATTTTAAGTAAAATTACATACCTCCTAAAACATAGGAGGATTATTTCTTAAGTGTAGACTATGTGATAGAATTTTGCTGTTTTCTCTAATACTGACAGTCTGATAATACAGTTCTTTTTCAGACTGTTCCAGTGTCTTCTGTTGTTTTTTTTTAAGAAGCCACTGAATGCAGCTTATAAAAGAGAGACTAGACTAACACCAAGTTAATGTCTTTAATTATACAAACTTATTACTGAATTGGAATTTTAATAATTTATGAATATATTTCATGTTTCTTTAATCCTTAATCATTTTTGTAATAAATGTCACATAGGGTAGTTTTCTTGGAACTAACTTGACAGTAGTTGCATCTTTTCTTGCTGGACATGCTCATTTTGTGAAATTTCATTTACATGCTTTGTGCTTTCTTTCAGATACATCTATTGTGATGAAATTGACTTGGCTGCTGACACAGTGCTGGCCACTCTTTATGCTGCCAAAAAGTACATTGTTCCTCACCTCGCCAGAGCCTGCGTTAATTTCCTGGAGACCAGCCTGAGCGCCAAGAACGCCTGTGTGCTCCTCTCTCAGAGCTGCCTGTTTGAGGAGCCTGACCTGACGCAGCGGTGCTGGGAGGTGATAGATGCTCAGGCTGAGTTAGCACTCAAGTCTGAGGGATTCTGCGATATCGACTTCCAGACACTGGAAAGTATCCTCCGCAGGGAAACTCTGAATGCCAAAGAAATTGTGGTTTTTGAGGCAGCTCTCAACTGGGCTGAAGTAGAATGCCAGCGACAAGACCTCGCTTTGAGCATTGAAAATAAACGCAAGGTCCTTGGAAAGGCACTTTACCTGATCCGCATACCCACTATGGCCCTGGATGATTTTGCAAATGGTGCTGCACAGTCTGGAGTTTTAACTCTCAATGAGACCAATGACATCTTCCTCTGGTACACTGCTGCCAAAAAGCCTGAGTTGCAGTTTGTGAGCAAAGCTCGAAAGGGCCTTGTCCCGCAGCGCTGTCACCGGTTCCAGTCCTGTGCCTATAGAAGCAACCAATGGCGCTATCGAGGCCGCTGTGATAGCATTCAGTTTGCAGTTGACAAGAGAGTGTTCATTGCCGGCTTTGGGCTGTATGGCTCCAGCTGCGGCTCTGCAGAGTACAGCGCCAAGATTGAACTCAAGCGGCAGGGTGTTGTCCTGGGGCAGAACTTGAGCAAATACTTCTCAGATGGCTCCAGCAGTACCTTCCCTGTGTGGTTTGAGTACCCGGTGCAGATTGAGCCAGACACCTTCTACACAGCCAGCGTGATACTGGATGGCAATGAACTCAGTTATTTCGGACAAGAAGGCATGACGGAAGTTCAGTGTGGCAAAGTGACTGTCCAATTTCAGTGCTCCTCGGATAGCACCAATGGCACCGGGGTGCAGGGGGGCCAGATCCCTGAACTTATATTTTATGCTTGAAAATAGTGTGAGCTCTGGGGTGTTACCTCTGGTTCCTACTTGCTTGATGCTTAGCTCATCTGCAGATATGTGATCAGTGCAGGTAATTTGTAATGATTAAAGCTGTAGGCAGTTTCTAACTTCTCTGAACCTTTTAATTATGTACAGGCAAAAATGCAGCATTCAGCTTTTAACTATATGCTTAAAAGAGCCAAGTTCTTATTAGGCTTTGTGGTTTTTAGAGTTGCGTCTGTGTACCTGGGGAGATTTGTGTTCTTTTCTAACCCTACTGACCTCCCAGTTGTGTCCCTCTTAAGAGAGCTTTTGGATCACCTCAAATTTCCATTACTGCTTCATTTCAACAAACCAAAATAGTCCAAAATAATAATGGCAAGTTATTTTTAAATGGGATTCCTTTACCTCCCTCCACCCCAAAAAACAGTTAAACCTCAGTGTACCTTTTTTTTTTTTTTTTAAAGACAAATGTTACTCTTTTTTTTTTTTTTTTAAAGGATTTATTTATTTATTATACCAGCACTGGGGTACAGGCCAGAGGTGCAGGAGTGTGAGAGGAGTCACCAGAGACAGAACAGGGAGCAGAACAGGCAGAAGGACCGAAGTACACTGCTGAGGGGAGCAGTGGGCGGCAGGAGAGGTCTGCCTCGCCATGTGAGAATCTCCCTGGCCTGCCGGGAATCGAACCGGCGCTGCAGAGACTGAGGACAGCTTCACAGCACTGCGCCACCAGGGAGGCCCCTCAGTGTACAATTTTGAAAGAAGTTTTGCTTTGTAATAAGTAACAATTTAGAAAGACAGTAGTCATGTTTAGCTCTTTTTCTTTTAAATATTTTATTTCAAGCATTGCTTTTTCTTAAATGCTAAATTCATAAGACTGTGATATTTTAGGCACTGAAGAGTGTCAGTATAAAATTGGAAGATAAGAAAAATGAATATTAAGGCCATGACTTCTGCTCTAAGCAGTTTCATTACCTTTTAGTTTAGAAAATGAAATATATGCAGTACAGGCATTTCTTTTAGAAATAACTAAACTCTATTGTTAAAAAAATTGCAGGCCTATTAATTTAAAATAATTTTTAAAGGAAAACTAAAGAATTCCAAACTATAATACTTTAATTAATAGAATATTAGAGTACACAGTTTGAAAAAGTTAAACTCTTTTCTCCCCACTTGCTTGTAATCCTTACCATTTGCTTATTTTTATAAGTTGTATTGTATAGAATTTTATCCCCTTTCCCATTAAAAGAGGACCAAACAATTCCTTAGATGAATGGAATAACAATTAGTTTTGTAGCACTAAATGTTAATATGATACTTATAGTCATTGTTTTTTTTTTAATCTGAAATATACTTTACCTGATCTACTTTGACCACATACTAGCTTCTTATAATTCTGTCCTATTCCTGGACTGCTAGAATCTGGCCTTTGTCCATCTTAAAGTGCCAATATATGCCTGCAGGGTTTAAAAAAAATTGGTCTGCAGTGTCACCCCTTGGTTATACCTAATATTTACTACATCACCATCACATCCAGCTCTCATGTCCATGCATAATGGAAACAAAGGAGGGAAACACTTATCCAAAAAATTCTCCTTCAGTGATGGCTTGTGATAGTTCAGTGCCGTGGCCCTGGTGGTGTCCAGTGCATTCACTTCCAGTTGAAGTATCCATGTGTTTCTGGGCAGCTTCTCTGCTCAGTGTGCTCCTGAGTTGGCTTCCCCTGCCACCCAGAGTGTGGTCCCTGGCCATCTCCTTCTCCTGCTCAGCGAGCCCAATGCTGGCTTGTCTCGAGGCAGGGGTTAGTCCTGGGGTGGGTGTATGTGGGCATCCATGCACGTGCAAGTGCGTTTGCCAACTCAGGAATGGTCTCCTCTCTGCTTGGCCAGTGGGAGGTGGGGCATGAATGGTCCCCCTGCTGGCCCCAGCAAGGCCCTAGTGTGACTGCCCTTCTCTTATTCACTGTGCTTCTGGGCTACTTCTTCCCTGAAACGTGGGCTTTGTTGCCTTTGGCCAGCTTCCCTGATGGAGGAGAACACTGGATTATAAGGAATGTTTCAATTACTTTGCCATTACCTATGTCTGTTAGCATAGATGATCAAAAGCTGTTACTGGTGACGATTAATGAGTCCTCCCAGGACAACTTTCTGAAATTGTCTAGCAATTATTTCTTATTAGAGAGATGACAGATAGTAGTTTTGGCAAAGCATCAATTAAATATGGAGCATTTTCAATAAAAAAAAAATACTTCAGAAAGGATTTTGTTTTAAAATTAAGGTTAAACATTTCAGTAATTCATAGCTACCACGCAAACTGGTAGACTAGCTACCTGATTAGAAGGCACTCATTTTTAAGCCAGAGGAGAAGAAACCTGATTTAACACTCATTCCATCATATCAGATTGTTAACGTAGGGTGCGTGTGACAACCTTGAAGTCATGATTGTTCATCCCAAAACACTCACCATTAGTGCTCTGGTGGTGGCTGCCCTCCGTGTGGCTAGGGAGCAGCTGGCAGAAAGCTGCCTGACATCCTGTGCACTGGGTGTAGGAGAACTCAATTTTATGTTAACTACTACTGCTTAAAAAAGCAATACATTCATGTCTAGTTGGCTGGTACTGAGAGCTGTGGGTCAAATTTGAAAATTATGTTTAGAATAAGAATTTTTCCTTTTAAGCCTTACTCTTTCTTCGGCATTTTCAACATGGAATGAAAGCTAGTGTGCTTCCTTTATTTCCTTTGGTAATCTCAAATTCTGTAGCTTTTAAAATTGTTCTGACAAGGCAGGCAACTTGTGTATAAACACAACTTTATTAAACAGAATACTCTGTAGATGCTTTTCCCAATGTATCTGGCAGTCTTCATTGTTGTTCTTACTGGGGATAAAATGGGGGCTAGGCTAGCAGTTCTAATGTAACATTCTTTAAGCATACCTTAATATAGTATTTAAGTAAATGGTCTAATTTCTACATAATTATTGCACTGAACTGTCTTTTTGTTTTTTTTTTTTTTTTTAAGGTGTTTAAATAAGCTTGGCTAATTCAAGACACTAGCCACTTGTGCATCAGAGTGCTTGAATTTAATAGCTGACAGCATTATTTATGAAGGAAAAATATATAAATATGAAGTACCTCATGTTGAATGTTATTGTACTGTATTTTTAATGTAACAGTGCAGATCTTGTTAGACACATGAATGTGTATAATCATGTTAAATGCAAATAAAAATAAAACTGGTTCATAGCCTTGTTTTCCTTAGCATTTTTGTAGGTCCCTTGAAATAATAAAAAATACGTTCTGGCACTTTTGGTGCCACTACATTTTACAGAAGCATTTGTAAATGGTGGTTTCCCAGAAGCATTTGTTTTCTTAGTACTCACATATCTGTGATCCCTGAAGAAGTAAAAATTTGAGGCAAAAGCACAAGAAAACAATAAACATCTTAATTATATTACTGAAAGCCTGACTGTTAAATTAATGAGAAGGAATGAATGGATGAGTTTATATTCCGTCATGGAATTTGTGGTTGGCTGCTGTTCTGATGCTATAGTTGCTTGTATGTCTGTGGATCTGGCTGTACTAGGGATGTTGCTACTCAATCACATGTAGCTTCAGATATGATCAATGTTACTTGTTCCTGTTGTGTTCAGTAGTGGAAGTCTAGGAATAAATGCATGCCACAAGAGGATTTTATTTTATTTTAAAGATTTATTTATGCATCCTAGAACTGAGGTGCAGGCCAGAGGTGTAGAGGGTGAGAAGATCCCAGAGACAGAGTGGGGAATAGAACAGGCGGATTGACTGAAACATACTGCTGAGGGGAGCAGCAGGCAAGACAGGAGAGGTCTGCCGTGCCATGTGGGTAACCGCTATCCCTGGCCGGAGATCGAACTTGAGCTGCAGTGGCTGAGGATAGCTTCATAGCGCTGCATCTCAACCTTCCATGCCACCAGGGAGGCCCCGCCACATGAGGATTTTAAATACAATTTTTATTTACTCAATGATTAATACTTCCCCATAGCAGGTCCTTATACACAGGTGTGCACAGTTATATACGCATGTACATACATTTTTTTTTTTCTTTGCAGCTTTCTGTTGTTTTTATGCTAGAATTTATTGTGAAACCCTGTGTATTTACTTTAACTTCATCTGCTGTGGGTTTGCTTTCTATAGCATACCTGCTCAAAGGATTTTTGGAATTATTTCAAAGAATAAGGGAACTGGAAATGCCCATTCACAACAGCTTAATTACAGATAAAACCTGAATTGCAAAGGTCTTTAATCCAGGAGAATCTTAGCCATTATCTCTTTTCTGTTTCTACTTAAACTTAATCCCCACATGTTTGTTTTCAATATCCTGGGACAAATGGAAATCTCTTTTGTTGGGACTCAGGAACAACATGCCACTGAAATTATACTTTTCTCAGTTGACTCTTTGGCTTGCCTGCTAAAGCCATAGACTTAAACTGGGGGGAAAAAAAACAGGAAGTAGGAAAGTGTTCCTGAGGGACTAAATGGTATAAAATTTAGAGGGTGAAACAAGCAAGTGCCTGGAAACCTGTGGTTATCTTAGAGTGTTCTTCAGAAGAGCTTTGTGTGCCTTGAAGATGTTTTAGTGGGAAAGTGACTCCACTTGATTTCTACTTAATACATTTTAACAATTTTTTTTCTGAGCCACTTAAAATTATTGGCCAACAAGCCTTTGTTCAACATTTCATATTGTCTGACACCTTTTAGAATACATCATACAATAAAACTAAAGTGAAAAATGGGGATAAATGAAAAAGTGTTTTCCTCATTTGTTTCCAAAATCTAAGTAAGCACTGGTGAGAAGTTTCTCAACCAAGAAATCAGTAGAGGAGATGAAAATATTTATTTTTTTTAATTTTTTTTTATTTTTGGTTTTCAAATTTTACATATTTTACATTATTTTTCATTTTTGTACAATGTATGCATTTTCATCTTGGTTATAGTCCCCATATAATTCCCACTATCCTTGTTTTGATCCCACTCCCTTCTCCCCCTCCCCCCATAGTGTGTGTCTGGTTTATAGTTGCTTGTTTTGATTTTGATTTTTACTTCATTATAATTAGTCTTTTGAGATGAAAATATTTCTAAGAGGTGATGAGGGTTGGCCTTCTCACACACCATGCAGTGTAGCCATAGCACCTGTACACCCATCTCTGAAGAAGCACTGGATACATGTTCTTAACTTGGGCATTTCCCCTCTTTTGCCTCTTCTGAGCCTGTTTTTTTTTTTTTAAAGATTTATTTATTTATACATACATACATACATACATACATACATACAAGCACTGGGTACAGTCAGAAGCGTGGGAGAGTAAGAGAATTCACCAGAGCGGGGAGCAGAAGGACCAAAGTACACTGCTGAGGGGAGCAGCAGGCGGCAGGAGAGGTCTGCGTGCCATGTGGGACCCTCCTCTGGTGGGACCCTCCTCTCGTGGCCGGGGAGCATCCGGGGATTGAACCGGTGCTGCAGAGGCTGCAGGCAGCTTTGCAACCCAGCGCTCAACTGCTGTGCCACCAGGGAGGCCCATTATGAACCTGTTTTGAGGGAAGACAGTAGGGAAGGTGTAATTCTCATTTACATGGACCCTAACTATCCTCATACAATGTTTTCTCTTTGTTTACTAATGTCAATCTGATAGCAATTTTACTAGCAGATGCTGCTATTTTATATTCGATCATCTACAAAGTTCCTAACCTCAAGATCTGTAGATAAACAAGACACCCACTCTTGGTCAAACTGTGTTAGGGACATAATTATCTATTAAACTACTAACACCTAAACATTAGTTTACTTCTGATTTTTCTTTCACTTGTTTTAGGTCTAAGTGATAAGGAACTCTATGATAGACGTCAAGGATGATGTGCCTTACTCCATGTAACAGTATAGAAAATTACTTTGAAGTTAAGACATGCTTCTTGTTTTCATGACTGATGAATAGTTTATGTTTAATATACTGCCTTTATATCACTTTATCTTAGAGAAATAATATTAGACCAGAAAATTTTAAAAATAAGTCACAAGACCTTGTTAATTTTAACATGATATGCTACAGCAGATCTTTATGAGAAGCATATAGCATAAGAAATTGTGAGATATCTGGAAAGTCTATGAAATAATATTTTGATATGTAGCGTTTTTTACTCTGTCTATACAATATGCGTTTTCCTTCCTAAACTATTATATTCAGAAGAAAGATAATGACTATTTAGAGAAGCTGCAAATCTTTCAAAAGCTTGAAGCAGAGGGTACCACCTTCTGCTATACAGGATACATAAAAATGTACTTTTGAGAGACATTCTATGTATCTTAGAGAAGTTTCATTTTTGTGCTTGTTTCAACCAGCTCTAAGCTTTAAATTATTTTAGCATTTCTTGTAATGGTGCTGAATCAAACACTTTAGTGCACCTAAGCCTTAGCCAATCAAAATTAAAGAAAAACTCCAATTCTAAGAATACTTGTAGGTGTTTATGGACTCAATATTTAGTGTTTCCCGGCAATTTTAGCTCCCCAGAAAAAACATAAGATTTAATGAATCATTCAGACAATCAACCCAATGTTCATTCATTCACTGACCATTTATTGATCCTTTACTTCATCCCAGGCAGTAAGAGAGGTGCCAGGGTAAGCCTTGGGCAAGGGGCGGGGGAGTCAGATGTGGTATGTGTGCTCAGGAGCTAATGGCCCCCTACAGTGAGTTCTGCTGTTAGCTCACAAAAAGATCCTGGATTTCTGGCACCCACCCCCAGAAATTTTGATCTGGTATATCTTGGATGGGGCTTGAGAGATTGCATATCAAAGGCTTTCCACATAATGCTGAAGCTGTCTTCTGCAGATGACACTCAGAATACTAACCTAAGGGATGGGTTGCTGGGGAGCGGTCTCTGCAGGACTGAATCAGGAGTGCTAAGGGCTGCTAGAGAAGCTATTACAGAGGACTGTTGAGGTCAACCCCAGGGTTGAACAGTGCATTTCCCAGAAGAAATGACACTCCAGCTGGGTTTTGAAGAACTGTTAGAATTATCTAGTGAGGCTTGGTCATGTGGAAGTTGGGGGAGGCATGAAGGGAAGTCCAGAAAGAAAAAAGCAGGGGTGATAGAATGGCGACCAGCTCAGTATGAATCCAGAATAGGATACATGTGGAAAACCCAGGCACTGTGTGAGCCTGGAATGGAGTGGGATGAGAACTGGGCAGGAACTTAAAGTATTTTGTGTGTTAGGCTAAATTATTGGCTTTCAGCCACAGAATGGGGCAGGGGTGTTGAAGAAATTTGAAGTCATGAAACAACAGTTTTGTGTTTTAGGGACAACTTTGTGAACTCTGGGAAAGATAGACTGGAGGCAGGAGGAGCATACAGGGCTGTGAATAAAGCACATAAAGACCAAAGGAGATCAGGGATGAAGATTCTAGAAATGTGGAGGGAAGATCCCCAGACTACAGTGGTTGTAACATCTACCTTGAAGGGACTTGCTGAAGTTGGAATGAAGGCTCTTGCCTTACATTTATCCTTGTAGAAAGGGGGAAAAAAAAAGTAGTTTTTACTCAGCCATCCTTGGTAGACAATTGGTTTATGGATCCTCCACCCTTGATTCTAAGATTCTTTTAGGAAGAAGGAAAAGTAAGAGTCGACATAGTGTGCTGGTTAATAACTGAGGCTGGAGTAGACTGCTGCATTTGAAGTTCCACATTAGCCTGGATGTGGCTTTAGGCAAGTTACTTAATCTCTGAGCTTTAGTTCCCTCAAGAAAGATGCAAGTAGGAGTAATGTCTTTCTCAGAGGGTGATTATGATGATTAAATAAATATTTCAAATGCATTTATAGCTGTGTCTGGTAAACTGAAAGTGTCACTAAGTGTGGATTAAGAGATTCAAAATGTAAAAGATCACAAAATAAACCCTTGTACTTTGCATGTATATGACTGTAAGCACTGGCTTAATTTTTTTTTTTTTAAGATTTATTTGTTTATGCATGCAACAGCTGGGGTACAGGCCAGAGATATGGGGGGTGAGAGAATTCACCAGAGACAGAATGGGGAACAGAACAGGAAGACTGATGGAAATACACTGCTGAGGGGAGCAGTGTGAGACAGGAGAGGTCTGCTGCGCCATGTGGGTTGCTCCCTGTCCAGTTGGGGATCAAACTCTTGCTGCAGAGGCTGCGAATTGCTTCTTAGTGTGGTGCTTAACCCCTTGCGCCACCAGGGAGGCCCTCCAGCTTAATTTTTTTAAAAAGATTTTTATTTATTTATGTAGAAGAACTGGGGTGTAGGCCAGAAATGCCAAGGGTGAGAGGATTCACCAGAGATAGAGTGGGGAGCAGAACAGGCAGATCTACTAAGATACTGCTGAGGGGAGCAGCGGGGGAGTCAGGAGAGGTCTGCTGTGCAATATGTGGTTTAGCTCCCTGGCCAGGGATTGAACTCAAGCTGTAATGGTGATAGTGCTGAGACTTAACTCAGGCTACTAAGGGTGCCCAGAACCAGCTTACTTTTAGGTTAAACACTCTTAACGGGTTGTTAATACAGGTAAATAAAGAGTTCATTTTGTTAAGCTTTCAAATCACTATGGTCAAAAGCTAGGGAGTACATAAAGCTATAAAAATCACATCATTGAATTCTTACATTTTAATTGAATTTCTATTTAGTATTTCAATTTTGTCATGTTAATAAGAGACAA